CTGATTCACTTGAATAAATGCATAAAAAGGCATTGTTTGGATTTCATTTTTGAACAAGGCGAAAATTTGACAGAACCGATGTGCATGCCATAAATCGCAGAATTACTCTTGGATGTATCGATTATTAAAGTAAAATTTGGTTAATTTATTTTGTATTGACTATTACACTACATGGTCAGATGCCAGATAATTTTTTAGTTTCGTTTTTTGCGTTTTTTCGGCGAATGGCTGTTCAACACTCCGTTAGGAGTAACAACACTGGTTGTTAGAACTAATGCCGACATTCCCCTTGCCATTCCAGAACGTTCATCCAGTCCAACGAATGCAGACAATTGGAGCATTTGCTGAAGTTTTGGTCGCAGGCATATGTCATAGGCATGACGGGTGCCGTGCATCACCTCTTTTTCAATCTACCGAAATAACTTCCTCTCCCATTCCAGGTGTTCACTTCAGCAAAACACTCAGTTCTTAATAGCCATGTTATATCCTTCAGTTTCAGGAGAGAAATCGCCCTTTCATAGCCAAACGTCTGATTTTCCAGTGTCTAACTTTCAGCATAAGTGCTTCTTGGAATTCTCAGTCAAGAGGTTTCGTCCATAATTATTTTAGCACTGGATTAGATGAGTGGATCTTTTCTTCACTATCTGAAAGTTTTCTTCACAATCCATTTCATCGTTAAAGAGAGGGATGTGAAAAAATATCGAACAACTGTTGCAAGAAACTGCGTTTAACCTGTACTTTATCAAAATTCTTATTGATTATTTCCTAATCTCTCTGTGAGTTGGAAAAGTTTGTGCTTCTACAACGGTTTCAAGAAGGTACGAAATTTCAAGGCACATCAGTAGAAGTTTTTTGTACTCGTTTGCCATATGATTATGAGTTTAAAAAGTATGCGGTAGGGGCACGGTGACTTTGCCCAGAGAAAGGCGCCTCTTTTGAAATGTTTCTCTTGTCTAACGTTCTTTGTCGTTTTCACTGCTTTTTATCATAGTTAAGGTATTTGTGTTTTAGACCTTTACAGCATGGTGCAACTCCCACCTACGAAAAGCTGGCACGTCGATCGAAGTGATCGAGGAGGACTTTCGAAACGGCTTGAAGCTGATGCTGTTGTTGGAAGTGATCTCTGGCGAGCAGTTGCCGAGACCGGACCGCGGAAAGATGCGCTTTCACAAGATCGCAAACGTCAACAAGGCGCTTGACTTCATCGAAAGCAAGGGTGTGAAGCTGGTGTCTATAGGTGCCGAAGGTAAGGGTCCCCCTTAATAATCTGATTTGCGACGTTTCACAAGTATTAACTCTGTAGAAATCGTCGACGGGAACGTGAAAATGACGCTGGGTTTGATCTGGACCATAATCCTGCGGTTTGCTATTCAAGACATCATGATGGAAGGTGAGATTTTCTCTCCTTTCGATTGTTTTTAATAAATAATTTGTCAGTTCATGAGTAGTACATTTAAGTAGCTAATACTTAGATATTCATCCTTTAGTAGAAGAAACAAAAAGTTTATTTTTTAAGCTGACTACGGTTTAACATAAACCTATACGTGAGCCTATCGACTACCAGGATAATGCGTGAGCAAACTAGTGATGCAGAGATCGAAGCGACGATGAAACACTAGGTATCATGCAGTTAACCGGTGATTTTAAAAGCGGCACGGGTTTCTGTCAAACAACTGAATATTTATGTCGCTATCAACGGAAAGAGATATCAATGATTTTGGAAGTGTATCTCTTCTGCATTGAACTGGCCTGATGAAGTGATTCTGGATAGCCACCATTCGACAGATTTTTTGTTCAGATTTGGGAGGGAGGCTGATCTTTTCTGCAAAGTTTACTTACTTCATTTGTACCATATTTATATGCGCCTAACTATCAAACAGGGCTCAGTAGTTTTATGTAAAGCTATTAAGTCATTACAGACGTACGCTTCACAATGAATTATCTCTGAATATGACGATATATAATGTTCTGTAAAAATGTGTATTGAGCAAAGGCTCTTGAAACATCATTGGTGACGAGTGACTACTGCTTTAGACGGTAAAATCATGTGACACCAATCTTGAAATACCATTTACCTCCTGTTTTATATGAGTTTGTAGGCCCGTAAGACGTGGCGAATTGACTTCATCAAGCACTGTAAATTGGTAGAGTTGCATTATTTAGCTTGTATTGTGCTTTGTGTTGCATACAGCAAGTTGTACCATATGCACGGACCGAACGGAAGAGCTGACGTCTGTGTATTTTCAGTGAGTGTGGCACTGCCTATACACCGAGACGAAGACAGCGCTGTCTGGAGTCGATTAGTAGTTAATCCTCCACAGTCATTTAATTTACATGCTTAAGGGTAATAAATTTAATTCTAAAGTGTCCTTGAATTTTTCAATATAGTGAGCGTTCTTCAAAGCAAGTTTTTAAAGGGATGTACGCACTGGCTCGGGATTAAGGTTTACAAATATTAATTTATTTAGTTTCGTTCATATTGGAGGAATGCGAAATCACTCATTTGCCTAGCATGGCTTCCACTCTTGCATGATTAAAAATTGTCAGAATTTATGCAATTTAAACTCGCATTTCTCGTTTCGATATCGTCACCATGTTCTCTCACCCTTTCAGTTTTTTCCGTGTCTTTATATACGTTACGGGATTGCTCCGCATTTAGATTTTCTTACAAAATTTACCGACGTTTCGAGCCATATCTGTTTTTGGTGTCAGGGTTCCTTGACATTGTGTTCGAACCATCAGTTTTTCTGTTAGAAAATCTGTATGTGGAAACAATCGCGTAAAAGACATGAAGACGATCAATCTAACCTCCTAAATGTTCAATTTCATGTCTAACCTCAAGAACAATGTCGATCCCAAAAGCAAAGCAACGCTCATCATCCAAACAAATCGTTAAAACAACTACATTAAGTTTGACCCTATCTGCAGGTGGCTCTCCACTTGAGATTTAAGGTGGTTGCGCATCTTGCTCCCGATTCAACAGTGGTTGAGCAGTGCGTGAACCTAACTATATAATTAATTAAATGAAAAAACCTATTTGAGATAATTGATACTTTTAAAGTTTAATCGAAAAATTGTGCATAGGTTCTCCTGAAAATTTCTCTTGAACGGTACCTACTAGTATATCTTAGGGATCTTTTAAGCTCATAGAAATGAAATTTTAAATCTGTTGAGCAAAAACCCTTGTATTTCCAGTGTAACATTAAGCAATTCACGCGATCTGGATTGATGGAATTTCTCGTTATGTTTTTAAACGCAGTCCATCTATACTAATCGTGCGTTGTCTAATGTATAGGTTCCAGAATAATGTTCACTTCCTTTCATAATGACGACTTGTAGCTACACCATCCTGCTAAGTTCTGCCATTTCACTACGATGTGCGAAATATGCAAATATCTGCATCGTGCCGACAACAGGGAGTTGTGAGTTTGTAGATGGCGAAAGATTGCGGTCTTATTAAATCTTTCGCGCTGTGGTTTCATTGACGAAGCGTTGTTCAGGGAAATATACATCTCTTATGAACTGGGCCAGCAGTGGATTAGTGGTTTGCTTTACACTTTACAGATGGCTGTTCAAAACCACATATGCGGCGTGAATTTTCTCATATTAACTTCCAATTTCCTTGAGCAAGGAGTTCGTCCCAGGTAGCTTCACCGCAAACCAACGATAATATGCCGGCATTTTGTTGTTGTTATGTTAAATGATGCCAGATGTACTCAGTACTGTACGATGTCCGTGGCTCGTCATTTAGATTTTCAGCTACCCGCGTAGTAAATGACCAAATATCAGCACGATGATTTACCATGAATTTAAAATTTGATTAAAATTTTCATTTTGCAAAAACAAAATAATTCTGTTGTTACTTGTAAAACTGACTTTATTAATGTTATCTGCCTATTGTTTTAAGTTTTATTGTTTTAAACGAAAATGAAGCTTTTCAACGTAGTCATTGAATGGCATATAAAGGTAATGTAGTGACAAGACAAAATAAAACAGAAGTGATACCAAATATAGAACGTAACACTGAGACAGCATTATCAGTCACGACAGGTCAGATAGCATATAACTGTTTCAAGGTTACATTTTATGGCGTATTTCATCGTTCCGTTACTTCTAGTTGCCTGGGGGCGAGGCATTTGTGCAGGCCACGTCTCCTCAGAATTTAAGCACCCACAGTGCCAGATGCATTTCGCATCATTTTCTCCGCTAGAGCCACCTGGCTTATGTGACACACTTCGGTGTACGAGTAACTTATGACGTTTACGTAGTCACCTCAGTTCAGTTTATTTCGAACTAACCCGCTGTCATTGTCTAAATGACTCGTCCGTATCACATTTGCTTATAGTTGGATTTAACGTAGTTTTTTTAATATTATTCCTTGGTGAAAATGTAAACCATTTCATTCGTTTCCTTTTTTAGAGATGTCCGCAAAAGAAGGACTGTTGCTCTGGTGTCAACGAAAGACAGCGCCTTATAAAAATGTCAACGTTCAAAACTTTCACACGAGGTAAAAAGTAAATCGTCGCGCTTCTGTTGTAGCGCGGAAGTTGTAATTTTTTGATTACCAAAGTAGAAATTTTGTCTTCAGAAATTTGTACTTGTATCAGTTCGATTTTCGACCAAATTCGGTCGAGAAGATTCAAGAAAATGTTTTAAATAGATTTGCATGACCCCCCCCCCGTCGCGAAGTCCTTTCGTGTGAGTTTGTAATAAGCGGATTGTACTTCTATAGGTCTACCTGAATGATTTTAGATGAAGTGGTTATCATTGAGTCCTTTACCATCTTGAGATTGCCGTTTAGTTGTTGGCCGTCCATTTCATGATTCAGATTGTCTTTCAAGATATCATAATCTACGGAAATTAGCAACTGTCGTATTTTGCCATTATCATACGACTCTGTATTTTGGCCATTTGTCACTGTATTTTGTTCTGTAGCATGACTACGACAATTAGATACACCAAGATAACTGATGAGCATGGCTGATTACTGACGAGTGCTGATGAATTCTATTTCAGCATTTGCGGGATGGGGTAAGCAGTAATTTCCCACTTTTGAGGTGCCATTTTCAAATCTCATGCATGGCATGAATTGTC